AAAGCCTCAGAGGTTCCCCCCCAGGCCCCCCCCCCTGCCTCTCCCCTCCCCCAACCCCCCAATCTGCACCTCCCCACCCCACGTGGAATCGAGGCCCCCTCTTCTCTACGTGATTATATAGCCTTTGGCATCTCCTTTACAACACTGAACTCTAATTCTTTGTTTTCCTGTTTGGGGCAGCTTCCGGATGCCCACGAATCCGTGGATAGGCCTCCCAGTGACAGGCGGGGCCTGAGGTCCCCCCGCCCTTGACGCTGTGAGTGCTTTGAGCCCCAGAGGATGTGAAGGTGACACTGCACCAGTTTCTGGGCTCAGCCCACACGAGACTGGTAGCTTCCACCTCCTCCCTGAAAACACTCTGTGAGCCGCTGGGTGAGAAATCGACTCCCCCAACACGGCCCAGCTGGAGAGGCCATCTGTAGGTGCTCCGGCCAATGACCCCAGCTGAGGCCACTGCGTCTAAACGTCACACGTGTGCGTGAGGCCACCCTGGACCTCCCAGCGCAGCCATCAGCCTGCTGAATTTCACCAGAGCCGCCTTGGTCAACACAACGAGGTAAAGAATCACCCAACCGAGAGATGCCTGAATTCCTGACCCGCGGCATCATGAGACGTGATAAAATGGTTGTTGTTTTGAGCTGCTGACTTTGGGGATGGTTTGTTACTCAGCAGTTCACCACCAGAGCAGCATCTGTCTCCCACTGGACCATCCTCTCCTGACCATTCAGTCCTCAGCCCAGCACGAGGTGGGCACCACCCAGCGCACGTGGAGAGGGTGATGCCACCGTACTCTTTGCTTTTGTACAACATGGTGAGTCTCTGCTAAAGAGACCTGGGCCTCAGTCCCAGAGGATGGGTGAATTCAGAGTGGTGACACGCACCGAGAGGTCCCAGCAATGCCCATCTGAAAGCGCTGGCCCGGCCCTGAAGCCATGCTCTTCAAGCAGACGTGCGATGCCTCCATCTGACAGAATGAGGGCAGGGCAGCAAAGTGCTCCAACGCTCAGGCTGGGTCCGCAGGTGCTGGGCGAGGCCTCCCTCCAGCCTCAGGGAGCTCCAGGGCCCCCGACTCCGGCTTCACAGCCCTACCAGCACTTCCTTCCTGTCCCTCCGTCCCCTGGGGCTGGAAGTAGCATGTGCAGCCTCCCTTCTGTCCATCGGCTGCTGGTCCCCTGGGTAATTTCCCAGGCACCGGCTTCTCTCAAAGCATCCCCAGCTGCCCACATACTGGGACCTCGGGGAGTTCAATTCCTGGGGCAAAAATCCAGGATTCTGCATGTTGCACGTAGCTGGCAACCGCTACCCTTGGAATCCCAAACTGAGCTCCACTTCAATGTTCATACTTTTCTCCCAAGAAGACGTTCATTTGTACCCAGCCTCTTCTTTTCCTCCCAAGATTAAAGCACAAACATCCTCTTAGATCACACTCCTAAATGTTCCTTATAATAATGACTACTGGGGCTTCCCTGGTGGCACAGTGGTTAAGAATCCGCCTGCTAATGCAGGGGACACAGGTTCGAGCCCTAGTCCGGGAAGATCCCACATGCCACGGAGCAACTAAGCCCGTGCACCACAACTACTGAGCCTGCGCTCTAGAGCCCGCAAGCCACAACTACTGAGCCCACGAGCCACAGCTACTGAGCCCACATGCCTAGAGCCCATGCTCTGCAACAAGAGAAGCCACTGCAATGAGAAGCCCACGCACAGCAATGAAGAGTAGCCCCCGCTCGCCGCAACTAGAGAAAGCCCGCGCGCAGCAACGAAGACCCAACGCGGCCAAAAATAAATTTTAAAAATAAATAAATAAAATAATTCAAAAAACCATGATGGAAAAGAATATGAAAAAGAATATTATATATATATATATGTATAACTGAATCACTATTCTATACATCAATAAAATTAAAAAGAAAAAGAAAAAGAAGAGGGGAGAGACACAGCGAGGAGACCTGCAGGTCTCTCGGAGGGCAGATGGCCAAGTGACTGAGGAGACAAAGACTAGCGCTGGATCCACACGCGCCGGAACGCCGGGGCCACCAGGCGGTGGAGAGGGAAGGAGCTTCTTGTAGGGCCTCAGAGGGAGCGGCTCAGCCACAGCACCTTGACCTTTAACTGCCAGCCTCCAGAACCGTGTGGCAGAACACATTTC